CACACACACACCACCTTTTCTTGGAGACAAAGTCTTGCTGTGCCATTCAGGCTGGCCTTGAACTATGTCGCCTAGGATGGCTTCAAACTCACATCGACCCTCTTGCCTTAGCTTTCTTTTTTTGTTTTTCAGAACCGGGGATTGAACTCAGGCCCTTGCGCTTGCCTGGCAAGCACTTATTCTACTGAGCCATCTCCCTGGCCCTGCCTCAGCCTTCTGAGTGCTGAGATTACAAGTATATTATGTGCCAGGCATGGTGGCACATTTCTTTAATCCTTGCACTTGGAAAGCTAAGGCAGAAGGATCACTGCACGTTTGAGGCCAGCCTGGGTTACATGGTTAAGTTTAAGGCCAGTCTGAACTACAGAGTGAAAGGCCCTCCACCTTAAATAAATAAAATTAATGTATGTAACAATAATTATAACACTCAATGTTAAAATAATGTCACAATAATGAAAATGACATACCAATGATGTTACAACCATAACACTGCCTTGCTTTATAAATAACTGTACATATTATAGTATAATGAAAACCTAACTTTACAATCTGATATGCTACATTCCAATATAAATATCTTACAGTTACACACTCTTGCTGACAACTACAACACTCCATTACTGTAAAATATATGATTTCTACTTTATGTTCATGAAAAAAGATGACATCTTTTAAAAGGCAACATGTAAACCAGGCATGGTGGCACACATCTGTAATCCCAGCACTCGGGAGACTGAGGCCAGAGGACTGCCATAAGTACGAGGCCAGCCTGGGCTACACAGTGAGTTCAGGGCAGCCTGAATATAGAGCAAGACCCTGTCTCAAAAAAATCAAAACAAGCAAACAAAAAAGGCAATGAGTAAACCAGATGTGGCACACACACCTGTCATCCTAGCACTTGGGCAAGTGAGGCAGAGGGTGGCTGAGTTCAAGACACGCTGCTGTGACGTGTCGATGCACATCCTCCCAAAGCCTCGGGCATAGCTGGCGCCTTTGCAGAGGTGCCTGAATGTAGAGTGTGGACTGACTTATGGTGCAATGCCAAGACTGAGGGTGGATCATGACTACATCAGCCCACTGACAGGGCCCAGTGGCCTGAACACAATGTAAGGGACACAAGAGGCTTCCCTTCGCCCTCCCTTGTTTTCACCCACCATGAAAGTTTCTCCTCTGCAGGTCCTGCTTGTCATCCTACCCTGGAGCCAGAAGATTGGGAACTGAAACCTTCACAGAAGGATTGGGGGGGGGGGGGCTAGTTCTGGTTGCCCTAAAGGTGTGTTTGGTGTGTCTTGTGGGGCTGGGGATCAAAAGGCTGTCCCCTGCGCCTAACTGCATTTGCCCAAGCAGCTCTTTAAACAACTGAACTATTGGGCAAGCTCTCTGAAACCTCTACAAACTGTAATCCAAATAAGCCTCTCCCCTTTGGGTATCAGGTATTCTGTCTCAGCAACAAGAAAGGTAACAAAGACACAAGCCCAGGCTATATAGTAAGAGTTAGGCCAGCTTGGACTGTATAATGAGACCCCATCCCAAGTAAAAGGCAAAGCATGTGCACACACAGAGGTGGCACGACAGAAAAAGCACTTCAGAAATGCAAAGTAACAGAGATCAGTGTGAAGGGGAAAGGGGCCTATCACAGGAGGAGTAAACCTACTAGGGATAAGGAACATGAGTAGGTAGGTGTTTGTGGTATCACACTGTCCCGACCCGCGGGTCAGTCAACGAGGACCCTAGAGGGGGAGTGGGGATGAGAAGGGACAGGAGACACAAAGAATGGAGACAAGACAGGATTCTGATCAAGTCTCGTTTATTCAGGGGAGGTGCTGGGTATATATAGGGGGTGTAGGAATGAGGAAGTCTCAGCTCTAGGGGGTCAGCAGGTGTCTAGGCAACGGGGGAAGGTGCCACCCCTGGGGCATAGCACATGATTCACGGAGAATGGGCAAGGTGAGAAGGACCATAAGCTTAACTCAGCAGGGAACAGAAACTTAAGAAAACGGCTATCACTATTATAAAATGGATACCAGTTAATGGCTTCCCACATCACACTCCTGTATTCTCAACTGCTCTGGAGGCTGAGGCAGGAGGGTTAAAAGTTGGAGACCAGCTTAGATAACACAGAGACTGCCTCAAAATAAAAACTGAAATGGGCTGGGTTGTACCTTGGTGGTATGTTGCTCTTGACTTTGATCCCTTGTACCCACTCCAAAAAAAAGAAAAACAAGTAATGGAATATAGGCAAGACCACATAAGGGGTAATTTTTAAAATTAAATCTCAAAAAGCAGGATGATTTTTGGGGGGCATCCAAAATTCAAACTCAGTGGACTGCTGGACTGTGTTGGATTGTTTTGCTGAATTCACACACCTATAGTATTTAGATGCCAATAGAATAGCCATCCTTGACAGGACTAAACAAAAAAAGGATACAAAGGAAGGAGCATTTTGTATCTGTATA